GACGGCGGAGCAGTTATCTTAGGGAGAGAACCCAGGAAAGCCATCTCCCCGTAACTGCCCGCTAGTTATAGGATTCCTGCGAAAGTTTCAAACAGATGAACGATGAGAATGAATAGAGACTTCAACCCAATGAAAGCATGGAAGGGGAAAAGGCCACCTCTCTGCGCTGTTGTTTCGGGAGGAGGGGAGCAGTTATCTTAGGGAGAGAACCCAGGAAAGCCATCTCCCCGTAACTGCCCGCTAGTTATAGGATTCCTGCGAAAGTTTCAAACAGATGAACGATGAGAATGAATAGAGACTTCAACCCAATGAAAGCATGGAAGGGGAAAAGGCCACCTCTCTGCGGACGGCGGAGCAGTTATCTTAGGGAGAGAACCCAGGAAAGCCATCTCCCCGTAACTGCCCGCTAGTTATAGGATTCCTGCGAAAGTTTCAAACAGATGAACGATGAGAATGAATAGAGACTTCAACCCAATGAAAGCATGGAAGGGGAAAAGGCCACCTCTCTGCGCTGTTGTTTCGGGAGGAGGGAAAAGGGTTGCGTGAGAGAGAGAGGAGCGAGGGAAGAGATGTAGCTAGAATTGCTACTTGGGTCCTCCTCCATCCGAAGAATTCCCCGTTCTCCGCGGTTCTACACGGTCTTCTGCTATTTTTAAGGGGGCAATTTGATGAGAATAACCACAGGACAAAAATCCTATTGTAGTATTGAAGCTTGTCGTCCACCAGTTTTTTTGTCTGAAATCTTTTGGCTCGGCTGTTTTTTGAATGACCGTTACCTTTCTCCCGCGCGACCACCCAATTAAACTTTGAGTGCTAGATCTGCAGGGGGCAAACTGAAAAAATAAAAACTAAAGAAAGGGTTAACTGAGGATTGGCCCCCTGTACCATCCCGATCGCAAATTAACCCCTATAATTTTATTGTTGCAGATGGAACCCCGGGTAGACTTTTCCTGACCCTCCAACCATCAGAGGAGGAGAAAATTATACTTTGATAAATGATCTCTTAAGGGTAAATGAGCAGAAATAAATTCATTTGGGGGCTCTATCTGCAATTAACCCAAAAGGAAAACAACAATAATAGTAAATAACAAGTCTTCTCGGATTCGGACAAGAAGAAGAAATAGAGAACAAAACAATAAATCTCAGTTGAACGTCGCAAGCACCATTACTCAACTTAACCAAAGCAATGTAATAGAATGATAGAATTATAACAAACTCTATACAAAAGAGATATGGAGGGCATATATGGCACATTAATTAAATAGGAAAGATTAGAAACACATCAGTTTTCTTCTGCTGTGTCAAACAAATTTAATCAACAATCATCATAAACACAAGAACATTAAATGTGGAGAAAGTGTCATGGTCTTCTCATAGGTGGTGCTTTTTGAGATGAAATGGCTCCCGGGTTTGGATTTGGGCCTGTAGCTCCATAACCCATTGCTAATTTGTTTGTCGGTAGTGATCCTGGGTTTCCTCTTCCAGGTGCAGCTAAACCTAATCGCGCTGCAATTATTTGTGCGCGTTCATGCATAAGTCTGTGCCTAGCTCTTTCCGTTTGCTCCCTCATCCTCATGATTACACTTTCAATATCGGCGAACATTGCCAACTTGACCTCCAGCTTATGCAACTGCCAAGAAAACACTGAAGGTTATGAAGTAAAGAATAAACGTACATTTAGATTATTGCATAAGCAGCCACCTTTAAAATGAAGATTGAAGTTCAAACAGAAAAAAGAGTTCTTACAGTACCTGTTTCTCAATAATCAATGAGACGAGCTGACGGATTTGGTCTTCCTCATGATTAGCAAGAAGCTTGGCCTTCACTGAAGCAGCTGAGAGTACAGTAACTGCAGCACGTTTTAACTTGATTATACTGTAGTTATTCTTGTCGTCATTGGCTCCAGATGAGTTGTTACTCTTCATGTTCTCGCTGGATGATACTTTTCTATCATCTACATCTGAAACATAAAGAGTAATCAGATGAAAGTTTGAGGATATTTGAATTTTAGGTGTGGATGCAGTAAGTTTCGTTTTTAATCTAACATTCTAACCAGTTATAGACATGAACTTACGAAGCAGAAAGAAAATCAATTTAGGAAGCAGAAAGAAATGTGTAAATATGTTTACTGCATTATTTGTTCTTTACACAGGTAATCATTGTCAAAATGAATTAAACGTAACGTGAGACAATCATGAATACCGTCAGATCGTTGACATTGGCAGATAACTTTATTATTTGCACAGCTACAATGATTTTTTCCCCTTCGGGAATTTTCAACAATTTTTTAAATGGATGTCTTTCTAGGTATGTGATTGATGAAGGTTTAGTTTACACCATCTATTTATCGAGCCAAGTACGTAGGTCATTGGAGTTTTTATCTAGTGACAGGAGGCAAACAATGTACAGATGTATGAAAAGAAGTTTTAGCACATTCAGAAAGACCAAATAAAAATGATAACTGTCGGGAATGTAATCCTTAAGCGTACACAACTCTTTAGATATATAGAATCTGGCTAGGGCCTTCAATTTTGAGGCCCCATTCTTTCTCTAAAAAATTAAAAAAATGAAAATGAAACCAACGCAAACAAAAACTTAATGAGCATGAGATGTAAAAATCATTAGTTATTCTGTGATTGCAGCTGTAACCACATTCACCAAAAAAACATTAACATAACGACACCACAATTTTGCTACTGTCATCGACACTACCACAAGAACTAGCATTACTATCACAGTTTTAGGATCATTAATGCTACTGCCCATCACGATGCTATCTAGTTTTCATGATTGTTACCATCTCTACCAATATTAGAAGGGAAAGGATTTTGTGGGTAGTTCTTAAGTTCTTCAAGTAAATAAATGCTAGAAAATTCACATTTTTCTTTCGATAATCGTATTGCAGGTTAGTGACTAAAGAAATTTCCTTTACCCTCTTAAGGAAAAAATTAAAGACAAATGATTTTGGTCATATCATCTAATACTAATAGGAACCATTGGGACTGTTGCAAGGACCACAAAATTCAAAATGAGAACATGTCTTAAAACTAAAGAATGTAGCTAAGAAAAGGGATTGAAAGGTACGGGCAAAACATCAAAAACGGGAAGAAAATCAAATGTTGGATAATGTAATAATCTTTCCTCAACCAGTCAAATTACAAGAAAGTGACATTAAAAACTCGCAGCAAGTTCTTGTTGAAAGGTAATAATAATATAATAATATACTTCACTATACAAATAATGTAATTGGAAAGATGCATGATATGATCATATTATCACAATACTATGAGTTGTAACACTTGTATAGTGTTTTCCCTATTAATGTGGGATCAGACATTGAGGGCTTGTTTGTTTGCACCGAAGTACCAGTGAAATAGCAGAAGTAGAAGAAGTAGAAGCTACTTCTGCTACTTCTAGGCAAAAATATATATTTGTTTCTCTTGAAAATCTACTTCCGTTACTTCCTAAAATGATGATGTGGCGTCTACGTGGCATCTCCATTTCCTTAATTTTTTTCCATCTTCAAATGCACTAAAACACAATGGAAGTTGATATATGGTGGGGTCCACAAGAAAAAATCGATTCTCAAAACTATAATTAGGAAGTGATGAGATTTCCTTCTAATCTGTATCCTCACAACCAGCAGTCTCTTCCCCTCACAACCGACTTCGCCATCTTCGCGGTTCCCTCAAACTCGCGGTTCTAGTCCACACCATCTTCGCGGCAAAAAAAGGTTCTTCCTTCTGTCGCTTCATCGCTCTTCCTTTGGCTTCACCAAAAAGGTATGTAAAGGTTAAAATTTTGATCTTTTATTGTAATTAAATCAATGCAATATTTCTATTTTACTTGTAGAAATCTTCCATAAAGCTTGATCTTTTAGTTTTGGTTCCTTTGAGACATAATAGTCCAAAAAATTAGGGGTTTTTTGGTTCATGTAGAAATAAATCAGAATTTTACTGGGTTTGGTGTCAGATCTAGGATGTTGTCCTCCTTGTCATCTTGGTTTTCTTCTAGACGTGGCTAATTTGATGTTGGGGGAGATCATTGGATGTGTTGCTGGGTTGTGTAGATTAGAGAATTGTTGGATTATGGAATTTTTAGGGTTTTTTGTATTTGTTCTCACGAATTTATGTTAAGATATATACTAGCTTGGTGTAATCAACCAACTCGTGAACTATTATTGCTCTTAAGAAAATCAAGAATTCTGTCATCTTCGTTGTTGTTGTAGAAGGATCTGTAGATAAAAGAGGGCTTTGATCTTCATAAGCACCTCATTTATGCAAGGGAGGGAGAAGAAATATCAGGACCCAAGTGGCTTCCTCTTCTCCAATTATGCGTCTCTCTCCTCAAATTCTATGTCTCCCCTGTTTTTAAAAAGTGAGATGTTTTTTAAAAGAGAAAAATAGAGGAATTCTGTTTTTTATACTTTTCTGTAATTTATTTGGCCGGATTGTAAAATATAATCACCTTCTAAGGATAGTGACCTGTAGAGGAAAACTATGGCTAGATAAACAAGACCCAGGTAGGAAATTGCTGACAAAAGGCTGCATAATTGGAATTATGAGACAATTTTAATTAAATATTAACAAACAATATTTGAGAAAAATAGAACTTACCTGAAATCAATATCTTTGGTATATGAAGAAGAGAGGAGGATGAATGTGCCAAGTCCAAAGACAATTAATTTGTGTATCTTTGACATTTCTTTATTGACATATTCTTTTTTATGATGAGCTTCAATATATGTATGTCTAATTTTATAGTTTTGCTTTTTAATTGTCATAATATAAACTTTATTATGAGCTTCAATATATGTATGTCTAATTTTATAGTTTTGCTTTTTAATTGTCATAATATAAACTTTATTCTTGTTGTCTCTATAAATATTTACAATATCAGGACAAATTTTCAAAACCAACCTATTTACAAATTTAATAGCAGAAAACAACCTATTTCAGATTTAATTGCAAAAACCGACCTGGTTTCAGCACTGGAGCTGAAACCAGGTCGGTTTTTGAAAATTTTTATCCGAAACTTCACGGGAGTTGAACTCCCGTGAAGTTTCGTAGTTCAAATTTTTAAAAAATTTGAACTACGAAACTTCACGGGAGTTCAACTCCCGTGAAGTTTCGAAAGTTTTTTCACAAAAACCGACCTGGTTTCAGCGCCAAGGCTGAAACCAGGTCGGTTTTTGCAATTAAATCTGAAGTGGGTTGTTTTCTGTGATTAAATTTGTAAATAGGTTGGTTTTGAAAATTTGTCCCCTGAATGAAACATTAACAGTGTGTGCGTAATCAGATACTTTAAGAGTTGTTATTTTTGGGTAAATTTCACAAAACTACAGGTGTAGTTCGTTCAAGCTGACCACAGTGCATGGGGGTCTATCTGCAGTAACCCTTAATAATAAAACAAGAAATTGTTTTGTTAATTAGAATTTTGAATGCAGTGAGCATAGCAAATAGACCAGCATCCTACTACATTGGCCACAAAAGCGAGGTTTGCGGTCTAAAATGGTCAGATAACGGGAACCAGTTGGCTAGCGGAGGCAATGATCAACTTGTTCATGTCTGGCAATCTTCACACACATCCAAATACTAAACTGTCATGCTTTTGAATTATTGATGTTGTTTTACTCGTGATGCAAGCTTTTTAACTTTTAAGCACAGCAACCCTCGAGGCATGTAGTGTGTAATACTTCCATTTCTATTCTATTTCAAAAACAATCCAAACAAGAATAAAATGAAAGCAATATGAATTAATTACTTCCTAGTAATATTTTCAAATGTTATCCAAACAAAAAAAGTAAATGAAGAGGAAGATGTTTTACTTCCGTTACTTCTAAAAATATATGAAACAAACATAAAAAGTGCTATTTCCGCTACTTCCTACTTCATAGTTTTGGAAGTTACTTCTATAACCTACTTCTTACTTCAAATACTTCCATTATCCAAACGGGCCCTGAGTGGAAGTGATGCAGGATGATCGTGGACCATCAACCTGGGGAAGATTTATTAGGATCTTAGCTTTTTCGGTAGGATTTGATTTTATTCTAGGTAATCTTCTATTTTAGCTAGGATTTCTTTAGGATTTGATTTTTGATATTTCCTTCTAGTTTAGTTAGGATTTTATTTGATTGCACCTTTTAATTTTGTTAGGTTTTTATCTGACTAGGATTTTGATTTGATTCCTTTGGTGACTAGATGCTTTCTTTTTCTATAAATTAGAAGTATAATATAATCCTCTATGAGGGATAGACCTTGATTGTTAAAATTTTGAGATTTGAAATCCTCACTAGCACGTGAAGTGTTTGTGTTTGGCATTTGAAGTATCATGGATGTGAAGCCCTGAGCTGCGAAGCCTATTCTTAGGGGGTGAAGACCTTTACCAAACCTCCCCTCTGCAACTCTCAATGCCCTCTCCATCTTGAATCTAATAACCCCCAGTCATTCCCCTTTGTCCAAAAATTATAGTCACTCTTATAGTCACCATGAACAGTGATTTATTTACTGCTCATCACCATTCTTATAGTCACTCTTGAATCTTTATTCATTGCTGTCGAGATTATTAATTTTTGTACTACTTGAAGTCGACCAAGTCATCAATCAATGCTGTCAGATCAGATTCAACGGTCAGCCCATAATCATGTTCAGATCGGAGCCTTCAGCCTGTGCTCCCATCAGGAAAGGCTCCAGGAAAGACAGAAGAAACTTTTTGAACTGATTAAAAACTCAACGTCAACCCTTAAGTAGGTTTTAAACTCACAGATAAGGGAACTTTGCAAATGTTAGCCTTACCTTAAACTGGAAGGACAGCTTTCAATGAGTAAAAAGAACCTCATTTTGTTTAAAATTTAAGCTCACAGGACAAATGAGAGAAAAAGGAGGTCTCCTTGATTCGGAAAATCAATAAGAAAGCGCATATTTGCTATGTTAAATTATGGATGAATCTAAGGCACCACATCGAGCCACAGAATTAGACTAGTATTAGTCCAACACAATCCTACGAAAATGAATGAGAGACTATAAGTCTATAATTATTATATATAAGTGCAGATAAAAAGGACAGAAATTTTGACACCAAAGAAAGAATTAGGTTCATGAGCATGACAATAAAGCGTGACGCCAAGGAAATGCCTACGAAGGACTTCTTTACTGGTCTCACCAGACCCTATATGACTATTTCCAGTCATTAAAGGAAATCAACTTGCTGCATCCTGCCAGAACAAGTTCAATGACTTAGGTGCTCTACGAGGGCATGAAATGTCCAATTTTTGGCTGTAGCTTCTGTCTGATAACTGTTGAAGGTTACCTCTACAGTGAAGCAACCAAAGCATCCACAGTGTGCTTTCTGGGCTCTCATCTGATTAGCAGTTTATTATGCAGCACTGAGACTCTAAAGTCAAACATCCAACAAGAAGTCAGGAACATTTCATAATAGCTAGACTCCAACCAACTCAAACATAGCTGTGAATTGTCTTCAGAGGGCAAAAGCATGGGTGCAGAGGAATGAATTTGCTAGAATCTCCGGAAGTAACTTTCAGTGTGGCAAAATGACTATGATATGAGACAGCATAGAAGGTAGAAATTTTTAGAATCTTTGTACAAAGAGGGAGAGTTATAGTGAAAGCCAACAGGCAACAACTTGGGGGAGTCAACAAAGAGATATCACAAATGCTTTCCTGTACAAGGGAAATATAGACCTCTTTCATCCCAACCAGGCATCAATATAACTACTAATGTCTACACACAAGACATGCACGATGATATTTATTCTGGAAAGAGTTAATTAATCAACAGCAATAAAGTTTATCCTAAATAGATAGCTCACATATAGGAGTCTAGGACCACTGACCATTAAATTCCCATAGAAACCTGTCAAAGGTCAACCCATCAGGCTTAGGAATAAAATTTTAGAAAACCATATATATGATTAACTCTTAACAAATTTAGCATTTAAGGTTGAGATTCTAGGTAGGACATGTAAAGCAAAAGATTAGGAAGAATACTCATTGACCGGCAGAAGACTATTACATAATATGGGGACCAAAGTCAAAATGAAAGATACAAAACAAAAGGATATTCAACAAACTTCATAGTATAGCAAGGAACAAATAAATACTCAAATTTTCTTGAAATTCAATAATGACTTAACTAACATCAAGCATGCAACTCTTGCTACAATGCCAGAGATAACGTTAGAAATTGAACAGGAATGTGTAACATTCAGTAAAAATCAAATCAACATACCTGATGCCTCTTTACTTTCCACTGTTAAATTAGTACTGGGGTTTTGCTTGTATTCCTTGTCTTCTGAAGGAGGCTTCTTGTCCGCAGTCATTGATGCATTCGGCATTTGTTCAAGTCCATTGACCGATGCCAGATTATCTGAATCCTTAACAGAATCAGCTTTGTTTCCACTTGTCAATTTTGACTCCTTCCCTTCATTTGCAGCAGTACTTACAGCTTGCCCCTGCAAAGAGCTTTCTCCTGAATCTTTCAGATTGGTAGAGGAAAGCACCATAGGTGAAGCAGAGCTGCTTCCATCCATTGTAGAGTCAGGACCTATTTGTTCACCAGGCAACACTGGGTTGCCTAAATCTTTTGGGTTAGAGGGCAGCACCAGTGTTTGATTGCCCAAATCTTCAGTGCTGTTAGCAGATGCCTCTGGCAAATCTTTAGTACCGTTAGTAGCTCCATCTGATGGCAAAATTGACACATTGTATCCCTTTGCAGCAGATGGTTTATCCAAGCACTGCAAAGAGACAGATGTGTTTTCATTTTCTGTAGTTGCAGGCTTGCCATTTTCTACAGAAGGGTTCTTTGTGTTTTCTGGAGACAGGTTACTTCCATTTTCCATAAACTGATTCTTATCACTTTTCACGCTCATCTTCTGATTTTCTACTAAGGGGCTCTTATCATTTTCTAGATCCGTCTTCTCATTTTCTTTCGGTGAGCTATTGTCGGTTTCCATGGCTGACGAGTTCTTATCAATTTCCATCACCATTTTTTCGTTTTCTATAGACGAATTCTTATTTTCCCTAGATAAGCATTGTTCATTTTTAACAGGTGTTGCATTACCCTCGTCCTTATCCATGCCATCTCTTGACTCATCATTTTCATCAGTAATTTTTGCCTGGTTTTCCTCTTTCGCAGTGTCCCCATTGCTTGTGCCAGTAGCAGCACTGCAATTAATCTAATCATTAGAAAAAAGCATTATGGTGTGAGCATCTTACGCTTACAGGAACAGATCAAACCTCTCTAAGGCAGGCGATTCCTTCATATCACTTGGTGGGTCTTCAAGAAGAAAGCAATGCCTTGCGGCTAGCTGTAACCCAGGGGAGTCCTCGGACATGGCTTTCAGGGAACTCCGGAATGACGTTGAAGCAGCAGTGGGCTCCACTAGCTTTGTTAAAAATGCTGCCTACAAAGGGAACATAAATTTGTGCACATTCAGAATGATGCTAGATAGTCTCCAATTAGCTATTAGCTTGACAGAGTCCATTGCTCTTAAAGTCCAACAATATGTCAACATCAAAAAAAAATCTGATTTCTAGACTCCGGAATGCAGGATACTTGAGATGAATTAAGCCATATTTTAACATATTACTAGGAAACATCCAGCAAGAGCTGCAGTCTTGTGGAGTAAGAATCCTGTTAGACCACTTTTCATGCATGATGTAATCTGAGCCCTCCAATTTGGAAGGATGAAATCCAAAACCACAGGCGAAATACAAGGCATTTACACCTCTCTAGATGGGTGTACATGGGAAGTATTCTGATATGACTTGTATTCAGCATTCTGCCCCATCCAATAAATAGGGGGGAAAACAAAGGTAGACAAAAACATTCTCATTGTCCAGTCTAATATAGCTAAAGAAAATAGGATTTTGGAGATGAGACTAGGATTTATCCAAAGTCAATTGCATGTGCTTGCCAAAAGCGCCAGGAGGTTGATTGCCATAAGTTGCTTGAATGAAAGTGGGGGGGGTTGGATGCAAGATCAACAAAGAAAATAGCTGACTCATACCTAAAGGCAAAGCAAGGTCCAGCAAGAAGAATAGATAGCTTCCAGGAATGTGCAAGAGGAGAGAGACAAAAGCTTGCTCAACTATGAAAGGAGAGATATCTTTGTTGGAAAGAGTTAAAGCCTATTCAACAGTCTAGACGCCGTAATGCAGGATACTTGACACATGAGGAGTATGTAACATACTGAACAACATTCATTAAGCAATGTAAATTGTGCCTCTCTTTTTGTTTGTGTGCTGTGTGTGGGGGGGGGGGGGGGGGGTGCGGGGAAGCGAGATCATCAGAACAGCAAGGACAATCTCAGTGATAATTTTACCGAAAGAAAAGGTCCACTTGTGGATGTACTGACTTTCAATTGTTAATTAATCCTTAATCTCAAAGCAAGCATCTATTCTAGATATCTACTGACATTGTTTTAATGATATGTAACTTCCCTATACAATCCAGTTATGCAGTAGGTCAGGATTGTAAGTAGGTATATAGAGATCAACCAAACGCCAGACGACCAATTACACTTTAGATTTCAGATATGTGGATTATTTATGTTAAGCCTAGGAATTCATTGATCAGAAAGTCCTAGATGAACCAGGCCATATATGTACTTCTGCATGCTTATCACACGTACATCCCCAACAAATGAGTCAACGTAGGATAGGCAGCAGATAGACTTACCAGGGCCATGACAGGGTTTCCAGCTTCTGCAAATGAGGGCAACCCTTCTTGTTCAGGCATATAACCAATAGCCTGAAAAGCAGCCTTCAGCGCATCAATAGCAATATTTACACCATTTTCACAAGAAACCTCAAATTCACTATCATTTTTGTCCTTTGAAATGTCTGTTGGAGAAGAAACAGGTTGGTCCTTGCTCTCAACCTCCTTTGTTTCATGAACCGCTGATGCATCATTTTCTCCATTGGCTGAACCAGAATCCACCTGTTCCTGGGTATTTTCATCAGCATCTTCACTGCCTTCTAGAAAAGGATCCTCTATGGGCATTTGAAGAAAGTGCAGGATGCACTGGGTTTTCGTCTTTGTGGCAACATGTTCAGCTATCTCATTCCAGTTTTCACCAAAAAGCTCTAGGGCTTCTAAGAGAAGCAAGGTTTCCTGATCTGTCCAACTTCCACCACTCACACCAGGAACCTCAGCTGGTTCCATAAGAATGAAATCAGACGGTGACATGTCAGAACCAAACTTCTCATTATTATAGCACTCACTGCACAGATCAAAATCTGCCTGAAAAACATAATCATAGCTAGATTAGGTATCACATAAGGCTATTGATGTACCAAATTTACCAGGAAAGTTCAGGACCGAAACCCAGAATACAACTAGAAATTGAACGGATTCTTTGTGAATTATGACAAAAATGGTTCAACCGGGAAGAATAGTATACGACGTTATAATTTCCGCTATCTATGATCCATTGGATATGATGTTCAGTAATGACTTAAGAGTATATATATCAGTATAGGTTATTTTCCAGTAAACAAAATGGAAGGAAAAAATTTTCAAAACATCAGCCTGACAAATAATTAAGTGAATTATCATGCATCGGCATGAATTATTGTTATCCACTCCAGAAATCTGGTGCAAAACTGAAGTGGAACGTAAAAGCCAATGTAAATATAATAGCGAGTACTCATTAAATTGACTGATAAAGATATGTGTGGTTACTTCAAGATCTCTGATTAGTGATTATAAAAACAGATGATGCACAAAACATGGCACTTGATACTGCATTTCATCATTATCACTAATTCTATTGGCATGGCTGTTTTGAACTTGGGGTTTAGGAAATAAGTATCTAACCAAAAAAAAAGTTAATTGAATATTAATCCTGAAGAAATCCATGTTCTGAAATTGGTGCAACATCGATATGTATTTGTTGCAGTCTATGTAGTTTGCATATCCAAGCGCTTCTTGGGCCAACTCCATTCCCTCATCCGTCGATCCAATACAGTGGACCATTTCATGCAGAGAAAAAACTTATTGGATTGTGTTTTTTAAGCGCCTTGATGCATTCTTCAATGTTGTCACGCACAGATAGAGTTTGGAGTCCGGAGTGAACCTATAGGTCTGCCTGAAATTCGAGGTGCAGTTTATTAAACCAAATAGCTCTCATGAAAACCTCTAAGGTACAAAACTAAGTTCAATTGAGAACACCAATGTTTCTTTCCTTGAATGTTCATCAACTCATGAGTTTGAATACCTGATACTCTGATAGTATGCAACTTCTTTTTTCTTATAAATGCAATCAATATTGTCATAGACCATTTCGTATTTCCTACAACTCTGTTAATAACTTGGTCGTACTAATCCCTTCTTTCAGACATTTCCGCAACTTGCATAGAGGTATCAGGAGGTTCAACAACTCTCCCACTTTCCATGTTCTTAGAACACCTAAGTCTCATCAGCCTCATTACGTATAAAAATACCTACAGTTTCAACCATAGTGTAATTGGAACTAAGACCTCCTAAGTGATCTTCACCAAGAAGATTATCAAAGTAACTTCTACATCTACCATTGTTTTTTTTTCCCCTTCCATTGCTATAAGTCTGGTCTTCACTGCTAACGACTTGAATATTACCTAGATATCTACTATTCCTTTCTCCTAGCAAGCTTTTACAGAAATACAACCATTCTTTACTCCTCTCAGGTTAATAAGATTTAACAGACACAGTTTTTACCTTCTAAATCACAATTTACTTGCATCATTAACCATCTTAGCTTCCATGTCGGCTACTTCTATATCTTTCTTGTTTCTGCACTTTGGTTAACCATCCTAAGATCTGTGTGTGAGTATGAAGACAAACAAACTCTTAGTTCCTATCTATGTTACCCCGACACGGCCAAATTGGCCCCGTACCCGTGTCGGGTACGTTTTGGGTGCGGATCCGCACCCAAACGGCAGGGACACGGCGATTGAAGGCGTGAGGGGGAAAAAGTTACGAACCTGAAGAGGGAAGGCAGTCGTGGGAGGAAACGACGATCTTCGAGGGACAACGAGCTTCAAGGGATGACGAGCTTCGAGGGAGGAGTCGACAACGAGTTTGGAGGAAAGAGTCGACGACGAGATTCGAGGGACGACGAGCTTCGAAGGAGTGAACGACGAGCTTAGCTTCGAGGGAGAACATTGAAAACCCTAGCCCTAGATCTCCTTGGACTCGGATCTGAAGGAGGAGAGAGGAGAGGAGCCGATTTCTTGGATCTATCTGAGGCGGCGGATAGGAGCAAAGAGAAAAGCTAGGGTTTTCTTTTATCTTTTTGTTAGAGGGATCTAGGAAAGTTGGGCTTGGGCTTGGGTTTGGGTTCAGGTTAAAAACCAGCTTGGACTTTGGTTTGTTTAAATAATTAGGTGGGCCATTTAACCGGCCTGAGTTAAGTCGTGTCCCCGTACCCTACTTTTTACAAATTTGCCGTGTCCCGTGTCCCGTACCCATGTCCGTACCTGTATCTATGCAACCTAGGTTCCTATCTTCATATATAAGTAAGCATAAACCATATACTCAGTTTCAATGCCTTAAACCATATATTCAGTCCCAATGCCTTAGTAGTTGCCCCCTTTAGCTTCTTTCTTTGCTAATATAAACCTGCAATATTTTTGTCTTTTCACACTACGGCTAACCATTAATCTTTGTAAGATTCCATTTGCTTTAATTAGCTCTTCAACTTCGTTCCTCCGCAATAACTCTCTTTATTTGGCTATGCAATGTTATATAAGGCGCTAGGTGGACTAGGCATTTGAGTCAGCGCCTAGTGCCTAGATGCCTGAGCGTACGCCTAGGTGGCACCTAAGAGTTTGACTATTTTTTTAATTATTTAATTATAATAATGGATAAACATATGTATTAAAGTCATAAAAAATTGCCAAAAATAGCAATCTTAGATCCACAATAAACAATACATACTTAAATACTAAATAACCAAAATAATAATTAATAAGGTTATAGAAAGCACTAGGAGGCCTAGGTATTAGACCTAATGCCTAGAGCCTAGGAGTTTTCTTTTTTATTTTTTAATTACAATAATTGATAATAAATGTTAATGTTATAGAAAGTTTAGGTGTCGGACTAGTGTCTAGGAAGATTTCTTTCTTCATTTAAGTGTTGGTCGAGGAGCTTTTGCTAAAGGTCGGAGGAGATAATGGAGGTGCTCATATTTGGAGGTTAAAGAAGTTTAAAAGAGGTTGGAGGACGTGGAGGCCGCAACATAGAAAATTACGATCAAGGCCTAAAGAGTACAGTTCACGTAAGCAGACAATGCTCTTCTAAACACTCCTAAAACCTAGATGGGTAGCCTAGGTACCGCCCAGGCACTAGGCACTAGCTAAGCGACCTAGGTACCGTCTAGGCCTAGGCATACGTCTAGGCGGACTAGGCAGAGGCTATTTAAAACAGTATGGCTATGTATTACCTGTTCTCAGCTCTTTTTCCTTCTTGTGGCTTTTCAAATTGCATGATTCAAAAATATATATATGATTCTCCTACCACATAATATTAGTTTAAAATAAATCAGGTAAATTCTGACAATTGACCTTTTTACTTTCTATCTTGACAAGTATAAAATTACCTTTTATTCACTACGGAGTTCTCATTCCAGTTGTTCTCTCCCATTCCTCGTACATTTACCCAATACCATAAATTATGTTGTGTTGTCAAGTTCTTTCCTTGTATTATTGCACGATCATAGCATGCTAACCTATCCAACCTCCTATTAAGAGGGAGATCTATTTTTTATCCAATTTTAAAATATCAAAGGCATCTCATATATTCATTATCTTAAGACCATATATTTTTTAAAGTCAAGAACCAATTTTAAAATAGCTAGGATTACAAAATAAAAATACTTTCATGACAATTGACAACTTAATGCTATCCTCTAGTCTTATCTACTTCTAGAAAATAAGTTGAATCTACCGTCTTGATGAGTTTTTACTATTTTAATGATTTTCTCTGATAGATACAACTAGAATTAATCTTATTTGCCTGCATTTATTAGTTAGCTAGATTGTATTGTTTCGAAAAGAAAGGTGAAGTATAAATATTTCATTACTCTCACAGGCTCATTGTTATAAATATTTATTAGTTAGCTAGATTGTATTGTTTCGAAAAGAAAGGTGAAGTACAAATATTTTATTACTCTCACAGGCTCATTGTTATAAATATCCCTAATACAGTCGATATATAGGTCAACATATCCCTTTTATGAGGTTTTCTGCAAAACAAAATGATCTCAATATCTTTTACTGTATTTTCACAATTTTTGGGCAATATATTTCCGATATGCCAATATATCAGCCAATATGTTGGCTGATATGTCCTTTAAATGGCTTATCGTGAAACAATATAGGTTTGCAAAATTTCTTCAATGTTTTTTAATAGAACTTTCAACTCTATAAAGTATTTTAGTAAAATTCTAGTACGCTTTCCCTCTATAAATTTATACAATTGTTAGTGATCCTAAACGTATATTATTTACATTTCCAAGTATGTTCATATTATATTTTAGGATATTAAATTATATTTGCACATCATCGGATATGGCACTCTGATATTAATTACATATCCCTGATATCCACAATCCAATACGGGTTTCGACCATCCAATATTCCCCAATATTTGATATTTAAAACCTTGACTGCTCTATATAAGCAACCTAGAACTGTTTTAAACAGGGAAATGGACATTGGACAACAAATCTAACTAGCTTTGATCAATAACTCCTTATTTATCTATTCAAGTTGGAAATTGAAACTTGAAAGCATTAAGCCTTCATTATGAAGGACACAGTTGACTCAGTCAATTGGTATTGATGTGAGAAACGACACTATAACTTAAACGTCTTAGCTGAAAATTCACTCTACCACCATCTTGATTCAAATTGATCAAAAGTGTTCAATTAAGCTTGTGATGTCTAATTTTGATGTATCATATTCAATCAACATTTATTTACATCAACAAGAAACATATAAGGCTGACCAACCTGCTTCTGGCAATGGTAGCGCTTGCGTGAGCAATCAGCTGAGCAAGAATTACAATGGTACTCAACAGAAGGTCCCGCGGGCCCAACCAACTCATCAGTAATAGAAGATTCTGGAAAGAAGCGAGGAGTAATAGCCGGTGTTGATGCCTCCACTTTCTTGGGAACAAAGCGAGAACAGGACTGCACTGTCTCAAATTGATACAGCTTCTCAATAAGAGAAGTCATATTCTCGTCACCAGCATCTGAATTCCCTGTATCTTGATTTTCTGGCGGGAAAGGGTGGAAATTTATCAATCCCCAATGGTCCAAAAACTCCATAACTTCTTGCTTCATTTCCGAGTCACCAATAGAAATCTCCTCCATATCTTTCACCTCCAGTTGCGTATGTGGGTCGGCATGAAATTTCCTCATGATTGAGTTTCTTACTTCCATGTATATTTCAGGAGTTCTACTCTCAGACTTCCCATTGAAAAATGAAGCTAATGTGTGCTTTTCTATTGGATGGATTTCTTTCCAAGAAAACCAGCCTGCACAAGGAAACAAGGGGAAAACAATATTTTTTAACAACAGAACATAAAATCCCAACCCAGTATCCTTACTGAAACTCCACATGGATAACAAGTAAATAACTAATTGTGAAGCTTCAAGTGATCAAAGTAAGCATATAACTAGCAATCATAACAACCCTATTCAACAAAACTTTAGTAAAAGAACTAACTTTATCCTCCCAAATGCCCAAAATTATCCCAATTTCAAAAGAAATGAAGGAGCTAAATATGAAACATCAACATTGTCCTCCCTAAACCCTAGCAATCAAGCGCATCACCAACTTCTCAAAAACAGAAGAAGAGAAATCACAAACCAAGGACTTTAGCAACTGATCCTTAAACTCACCGGCCGGTGTCGGGACCACATGAACGCCACTTCCCCGAGATCGAACGAGATCAAACTCCGCATCCACAATCGGCTCTTCCACAGGCACCATCTCCACCACCTCATCTCCAATCGGGCCCCCATCAGCGGGACCCACCTTTGCAAATCCTTCCAGGGCCGCGGCGTGCGACCTCCTCCGCCGCCCTCTGAGCGGCGGCGCGGCGAGCCTGCTGGGCGTTTCTTGCCGCCTAGTCAAGGCCCGTTGTGAGAGAGGGGATATTTAGGGCGTTTCGTCCTTGATGAGCCGCTTCGAGGAGCAGATGAGAGATTTTGAAGTAAGGCCTTTCTCTGAGAGCGCCCAGCTCGCGCCTCCGGGGTGCGTCTGTCTAGGGTTTCGGCCGTGGACCGCATCTGAGCCGGCCGGCGCGAGCGTCGGAGTTCGCCGGAGATTCGCGGCTTCTCGTCTCCATTGGGAGGAGGAGCTTGGTTCGGGGGGAATTTGAGAGAAGGGAAGAGTGGGAGAGCCATTGGGGGCATTCAGTTCACCCTTTTATTTACTACTTCGCTACTTCATTTTTTCCGAGCGAGTTTTTGGTTGGAAATATTATTTATCTTCCCCTTTTTTACTTCGTTTTTTTTATAAAAAAAAAACTAATAAGCGTGTGCTCAAAAGAGTATTTAAATGAGATTGGCTAAGAAACTTGTCATTTGAATAATTAAAATCCATGTGAATACTCACAATGTACTCGAGATATGTTACTCCTCAACAAAAAGATATCATCAACAAAGATGTGAATGCAAAAAAAAAAAATTCTTCCAAACTATCCCTGATATTTACTGTCCAGTATCGGGTCATTACATTTTAGATGTAATTGTTCCAAAAATTGCGAGCTAAAGAATTGAATGCTTTTATCTTATTTTATCGCCAGTGTTTTTCCATTGTGGGTTTGTTGCGCGCAGCGGAAATTTCGGCAGCACTTCGGCAGCACAACAAGAGAGTCAGATCGCAATAAGAATTCCCGTCTCACCAAGGAGACAAGAATCTGAAGCGGATATCTCAACAAAGTGAGATATCGGCTCTTCCTCTCATCAGTTCTAGGACTGACCTGTCGAGGGATCCTAAAAGTTATTACAAATCACACAAAAGCAGTACAACCAATTTTTACGTGGTTCGGCAAATTGCCTACGTCCACGGGGCAAGGAGGGGGGAGATCTACTAATAGAGGGAGAGATTACAACTAGGGTTTACAATCACTCACAAACTAAACCCTCACACAACACTCTCAAATCCCTCACAAAGCTCTCTCAAAGGGATGCACAAAACCCTAAAAAGAGACTACACAAAATTTCCTCAACTGCAACTACAAAAAGAAGAAAACCAAAAACTGCTCACTGTTTGCTCTCTGCCGCAGCCGCCAAAAAATCTCCACTAAACAAATCCTTGCACCGAAAAAACCTAGGCTAAACACACTGTTGATTTATAAAGCTCAACTTGGGCTTCGGGTACGCGAAACAAAATCAAAAAATGCCTTGTACCCGAACGAAATCAAATATGTGAACTTCACGTTCACGTGGTGTGGCCCCCACAAAACCACAATTCTCCACCTCGGTGAAGTTTTCCCAAAACTGAGCCGACACCAAAGCAACCAAATGTCCCAACCTGTTGTGTCCAGTACGAACTCAATCCATAACAAGTCGAGAACCCGAACGAGAGTCTAAACAATCTCACCCCCATCAACTAATCCAAAATCGGCTGCATCTGAAAGACTGCCTACATATCCTCTTGCCCAAGGAATCAAGCCGAACGTAGTTCACCCAAATGGCCGCCAACGGCCTCAACAATCACGAATGTGCAACAAGTCTCGACAATTATCAAACTTGTTGCTCGGAACCACCTTAGTGAGCATATCTGCCGGATTATCCTTCGTATGGACTTTCACAATCTCCACATCACCATCTTCAAGAACATCCCGAACGAAGTGATAACGAACGTCAATGTGCTTCGTCCGCGCATGAAAAACCTGATTCTTCGCCAAATAGATAGCACTCATGCTATCACAATGAATAGTGACGGACCTCTGTGATATACCAAGTTCCTTCAAAAGTCCTCGAAGCCAAATAGCCTCCTTCACAGCCTCTGTAACTGCCATATACTCTGCCTCCGTCGTAGACAAAAGCCACCGTCGACTGTAAGGTACTTCTCCAACACACCGGCGCACGGGTTAAAGTAAACACATACCCTGTCGTAGACCGACGCTTATCCAAATCTCCGGCATAATCCGAATTAACATAACCAATGCATAGCTGCCCACCTGTAGTGTCCCGCTCATAAACCAAACCAACATTGAACGTACCTTGAATATACCTCAAAATCCATCTCACGGCGTCCCAATGACCCACTCCTGGATCGTGCATGTATCTCGAAACCATGCTCACCGCCTATGACAAATCCGGTCTCGTACATACCATCGCGTACATCAAGCTCCTAACCGCGCTCGCATATGGAGTCTTCGACATCAACTCACGATCTTCAACTGACTTCGGTGAAAGACTAACTGAAAGCTTCAAATGGGCTCCCAAAGGTACACCAACTGGCTTCGTATCCATGCTAACATAGAATCGCTGTAGAACCTTCTTCAAATAAGCCACTTGTGTCAAACAAATTCTGCCCTTCTTCTTGTCTCTGCCGATCTCCATCCCTAAAATGCGCTTCGCCTCGCCCAAGTCCTTCATCTCAAACTCATTTGAAAGCTAAGCTTTCAACTCATCTATAGCCGACCTGGAAATAGAGGCAACCAACATGTCATCGACATAGAGCAACAAATAAATGTACGCACCTCCTTTCAACTTGCGAAAATATACGTAAGGATCAAACTGGCTCCGAGTTACTGTGCCCCCAAAGCTAGCAAAATCCGAATCGAAGAATGCTTCACCACCGGAGAGAAAACCTCATTATAGTCAATACCTTCCTCCTGTGCATAGCCCTTCGCAACCAACCTAGCTTTGAACCATAATGGAGTTCCCTCAATACCCTCATTCTTTGTGTATACCCACTTGCAACCAACCGCCTTCCGCTCCTTTGGAAGCTCAACAAGCTCCCATGTATCGTTCTTATGAAGAGATTCCATCTCCTCCTGCATAGCCACCTGCCACGAATCAGCCTCCGAACTCTGCTCGGCCTCTCTGAATGTAGTAGGCACTAACTCATCGATACTCTCCACCGGAAGTGCATACGCAACTGTGTCGGCATACCGTGCTGGCAACTGTATGTTTCTCCTCTGTCTCCGAGCCGCAATTGAATCCTGAACCTGAGCCGTCGATTCCTGATCCTGCACATTAGTACCCGTATCCTCCGTATCACCGTCGTGCTCACCTGGCATCACCTCAGTCGGCACCCGTATGGATACTGTACCATCTGGACAATGTGGAGCTGCATCAATCTCCACCACCTGTGATATCTCCTCCGTCGGGTCGCTCTCCACCTGATGAGAGCTGGGAAGCTTCAAGATAGAAGCCTCATCGAATGTGACGTCCCTACTCAGCACAATCTTCTTATCAACTGGATCTCAAAGCTTGTATCCCTTGACACCACGCTTGAATCTTACAAATATGGCCTTCCTAGCTCGAGGTTCTAATTTATCAGTTCTAACATGATAATATGCAGGGCACCCAAATACCTTGAGCTGGTCATAGTCATGTGCTGGCTTTCCCGACCACATCTCCATAGGGGTCTTCCCCTCAATCGCAGATGAAGGTAGCCTATTAATGAGGTGGCTCGCATATGTAAGTGTCTCAGCCCAAAAGATCTTCTCCAAACCACTTTGCGACAATAAGCATCGGATCTTCTCCAGTAAAGACCGATTCAACCTCTCTGCCACCCCCATTTTGTTACGGTGTATGACTAACCGTGAAGTGTCTCTCTATGCCCTCGTCTCGACATAGCTGCTGAAAGGAGTCAGAAGTATACTCACCACCGTTGTCGGATCGCAGCGTCTTGATCTTTCTCCCAGTCTGCAGTTCCAATCTTTTCTTCCACTCCACAAACAAATCTAGGACTTCACTCTTCTTCGTCATGGTGTACACCCAACAACGCCTAGAATAGTCATCTACAAAAGTGACGAACCAATGTCGACCACCAAGTGATGCAGTCTTGGTGGGACCCCAAACGTCTGTGTGCACGTAGTCCAGGATGCCCCTCGTCTGATGAATGGCAGTCCCGAACTTTACCTTCGTCTTCTTGCCAAGAACACAGTGCTCACAGAACTCAATCTTCCCACTCTTGGCTCCCTTCAATAGCCCCTGCTTGCACAATGCCTGCAGTGACTTTTCACCTGTGTGCCCCAATCTATAGTGCCAAAGTCTGCTCATGTCCGCTTCTGAAATAGCCGAAGCAACCTGGCCAATCTCGGTGCTTCCCTTCAGATAATACAAATTCCGATTTCGGACTCCCTTCATCACCACCAATGATCCCTTAGTAACCTTCGCTACAGCGTTTTCGAAAGTCACCTTGAATCCCTTCTTCTCCAAAGCTCCAACTGAGATAAGATTTTTCTTCAGTTGAGGAACAAATCTCACCTCTTTTAACTCACGGACTACTCCATCGTGCATCCTAATCCGCACAGTACCTATCCCACAAACGCTACAGGATTGATCATTTCCCATGACAACAACGCCCCCGTCGACTTTCTTAAAAGATGCAAACCAGTCTCGCCTAGGGGTCACATGAAAAGTAGCGCCGGAATCAAGCATCCAATCTGATGCATCCACATGGTTCACCTCCGGAGTAATCAGTAGAGAAAAGCACGAATCATCGGAATCATCGCCTTTCGTAATATTCACCTCATTGGCCTTCGGGCCCTTTTTCTTGCCATTCTCTTTCTCCTTGAGCTTCGGGCAGTCTCTCTTCCAATGTCCCTGCTCCTTGCAGAATGCACATTGGTTCTTTGTTAATTGGTGGCGGCCTCTAGACTTTGACCTTCCTCTATTACCACCTTTCGGATATGGGCTTCTACCTCTTGTCGACAAGGCCTCTCCTGAAGTACTAGCGCGGGAAGTCTCATTGTCCTTCCTCCTCAAATCGTAGTTCGTTAAAGCATTAGTCACTTCACTATAGCTGATAGAAGATCTCCCGTTCAACAAAGTGAGCACGAAGGTATCATACTCCTCATCCGGTAAGGAGCCCAACAAAATAATCGCATT